TCGGTTGGAGCAGGAGCTCTGCCTCCAGTTTGGAAGACCTTGGGCAAGGTTCATCTCACATTATGTTGCATGTCTGTCTAAGTATGGGACCAATCATGCTTGAGAAATGCCAGTTGAGAATGCCTCGAGAAATGACAACAGAGGGAGTCCAGACAGCAACATGGAGACAGCAGAAAAGGAAACAGTAGGAAGGATAACTTTTTAAAGAAGGGAACCTTCAATCTAAGGAAAGATTTGGGGACTTCAGTGTTTTTTGCATAAGAAATACGTTACAATCCCCTACGTGTTTGGGAGAAGGAGAGTGAAAATTAAAAGGACAAGTCGTTCCCAAAAAAGTACCGAAAGTAACAGCTTACTTTAGTATAGGAAGAAATGTGTCCTGTGTTCACCATAAATAATAGCAGGCAAGATGTGCCTTGAAACATCCACTAGAGTGGATGTACTTAAATCCACTACGGGCAACTTAGCCTTCTCACTTCAGAACAGAACAAACCTAAACACACTATATTGATAAATTATGATTATTGTAATCCAGTATTATTAACAAAAATACACATGCTATTATCAAGCCTGTATGTTTAGAAAAGATTACTGGAGCTAACATATTCCTGTCACCCAGATGAATACTGATACAAGTAGTGAGTCACTCTCATACCTTTTGAGGATTAAGAATCAAAATTCAGTCTCTGCCCAACCAGGCGGAATGGGCTACATCAGAGTCAGAAAAGGATGGATGGCTCTCAGGTCTAAACCTCAGATCTTAAGGAAGAGGGACAATAATATTTGCCAGAATATTTACCAAGATCAAAGTCATTACTTCAGATGTGACAGTAAATGTACAGGGCCGTGGTAATTAAAGCAGGGAAGAAAATGCAAGAGTGGACCTAAAAACATAGCAAAGGGATGGGAGGTTGAAAAGAAATAACAAGTAGTTGCACACTGGCCAGACAAACAAGCATCAGAAATTCACCCCAAGAAAGCACATTCCTGAGACAGAGTTCTGCAAAGATAATGAGGGACTGTACAAAACATGTTCTGTGTTGAGCCACCACCCAAATCCAGGTCCATCTGTATCATCTCTCTTTATATTTGAGAAATATTAATTCTGGCATTTGAAACTATTTACATAGGACATAGAAGCTTCCATGCAATTTTAAAATAGTCATACAAATCACAGGCAATCGTACTGTACTGTACAGTGCAGTTGAAAAAAAAAGAGCCATGTACTACACAGCATGCCTGACATCAGTCTGCTCAGTGTGACAGTAAGTACAGATCAATATTTCTCAGTTTCTGAAAAGTCTACAGCATTCTTTAAAATCCATGGAAAAAAGCTTACCCAGTTTTCAAGCTGACCAAGGCATCTTCAACTCCTTTCTGATTATACTTCGTCATGTAAAGGTGCATATCAGGGTAGTTGTTTCTGATATTCCTCTCTGTGCTTCCATTTGGGACTGTTCCAAATCGAAAAGGAGGTGAATAATCATACGGCCTTTGAAACTGGAGAGAAAAGGGAAAAGTAGAGTTTTTCGGGCACTCAAAATGTGAAGAAGGGCAATTTCAGATTGAAAAAAACCAGAACTTTTATAAGCTGCCTCAAATTTCCTCTAGGCAAACACTGTGGGTTAATTCAGCTCTATTATACCAGAAACTGTGTCTTCACACTGGCTGAACTTATAGAAACATCTACATCCAAAGCTCAAATTTGCTATTCTAATGTGACTTTCTCCCACACATTGTAATATGGCAGGACAACAGAAACTGGAGCACAGAGATACTGGAAGATGTTCCTTATCTGACATGCATCTCCCTAGAGAACCCAAACTACAAGCAGACACACTGATAAACAGCAATCAGAAGAAAACTGTTTTGTTGACAGTCATCTCACACTTCCATCTCAAGTGAGACATTGTGGGTCCCCACACAAAGGAGGCAAAAGGATCATTTGCACTGCTTGACAGGGAGCCCAATGCACTGCTCCCAGAGGGGTGCAGGTGACTGCAGGAAGCTTGTGCATGGGCAGGGACAGGGTGAGGGCTGCCTTTCCTTCCACCGCCATGTTTCAAGGGGAATAAAAGTTCTTGTGTCTCCCCCAGGGGCTCAGCAGCTACATCACTTAAAAAGTGCTTCTGAAAAGGGCTTCTGGAGCTCTCACACCTATAATCCTAGTCCCTGCTTATTCCTAGAATTTAAAACTACAAACCATTTGCTTGAGGGCATATAGGTTTATTCTACAATTTTACCCTTTAGATGACTATTGCATCAGCACAGACAAACAAGCCAGTGAATATCTGCAAAGGAATAGCAATAGCTCAGGGCACACTCAAGTTTCAGATCTGGGAATCATTCAGATAATCTCACATAAACATTTGCTAACAGACCTGAAAATTTTGTATGTACCTTTTCAATACCTCTCTTTAAATACTAACTGACACTTTAGGATGAAGTTAAAATGTCTCTTTAAGAAATAAATGAAAAAGGCCACTCAAATTAGAGGAACTATTGGCTAATGAGGAAATTCAATTGAGCATTGATAAAAGCAGTCACCCATGAATTCCACAGTAAAATGCACTCTGTTTTTACTGCTGAAGTTGGAGAGCAATCTATATACCCTGCGCTGCAAGAGACAGCTAATATTTATACAGCTGCTGCTTCCTTTGGGCTACATATGTAATACTTCTCTTTTTAAAGTTTGGTCTCAGGGCATCAAGATTTCCCAGGATCCAGTGCCAATTTGCAAAGAGAATACAAATAGGATTATACAAAAAATGGGAGTATTTTCAATTCCATCAAACTTTGACTGTGAAATTATCGCTGCAACAGTATTTCATGCTACGGAACTACAATTAAATGCTCCATTTTAATTAAGCATATTTTGACAAAGCATAAAGGAATGAACTCTATTTTTCTCTATTTGTTCAGCAAACAGATGTCTTCTAATTTTCCCTTTTCACAGTTTCACTGTTTAAATTATTACTTTGCTACCACTTTACACATACTAATTGACCTATGCACTAAAATTACACTGTATACTAGTCATGGTTCTTAGTCTATATTTGCAGTCTCCTTTTGTGAGTTTATTATGCAGTATTGAAACAAACCCTGCTCTTAAATATATGTCCAGAGATTCTACTGATACAGATGTAGCTTGCTATTAACTTTATTTAAATCTACAGATAATGAATGCCCGAAGTAGTGAGACGGCTTCCAATTATCTCCTAATATCTGTATCAAATTTTCCAGCCAATAGAACTGGAAGAAATAATTAAAGAAACAAGGTCGACTTCAAGACCTGTAAAAACTGCTGCTGCTCATCCAGCTGACAGTTTTTGGAAACTCAGCTGTGGTGAGCATTCTGCAAACTCAATTCCTAATCCCAGGGTACAGCAGGGGAACTGGGGGGACAGGGAGATTATGGTGGAGTATCCTAGTCATTTAGAAATGCAGTTTCGTTCTGAAAATTCTCACTTTTCAAGAATGTTCATATGAGTTTAAGATGTTGGGAGAAGTTTCCTCCCATAGGAATAGTGGAAGGAACTAAGGTATCTGTCCCAAACCGAACATTCATGGAACACACAAATATTTCTTCAGGAGAGCAGAGATTAAAAAAAAAGTCCTAGTTCATTCAAAAAGCACAGGGATAACAAGCAGATGAATAGTTCCAAACACAATCCACAGACTGGAATTTCTTGGCACAAGATACACAATGTTAACAGTCACAAGGAGGTAATTTTTTTGAAACAATTGTCTGCTACTACCGGCTGCTCACAGGCTACTTGTAAAGAAGAAAGAAGGGTTTAAAATATTTTTACTAGTAGTGCACTCATATCTAAGGTGTATAAAGTTCTCACCAGTAATTTTAAACTTCTATTCTGTGAACTAACATGTCCTGGAGAAGCATATAGGCTCTGGGATTGCAGCAAAGATCTATGTGGCAGGCATGAGACAAGAAAGAAAAAGGACAAAGTTCGACATGCACTCATTTTCCCTGAAGCCCCATGATGGGAAATAAAATATATCATGGCTGCCAGAAAGTAATTTTCTTCCTAGACATTTTCTGAAATACTTTTTTTTTTTAAATCATTAATAAAATCCTTAGATCGAATGCACAAACCCACTGCTTGAATCATAATTGTGGAGAGATCTACTGTTATTCAGAAGACGAATTCATTCTCACTTCCCCATGCTCTGCCAGCTGCTAGCAATGTGGCACATGGCAACAGAACTCCAGTCTTTTGCTTCTATTTTGTTTGACCTATATGCCTTAATAAAAACACCAATTTCATTAAGTCAGTAAAGTGATCTTTCACAAACATTAAATACTGACAATCTGAAGATTTGTATGCTTGCCGGGAAAGGCTGGTATTCAGAGCAGTTTGGTTTTGTTCTGGAGTATTTTAAGGAATTGCGGAAAACCACTAGAAGAGTAGAAAATAGTAAACATTCTCCTTCTGCTAACACAGATTATAACAGGAATTATGTATGGTTCGGAGTGAGAGAAAAACACCCCTATTTGAACTCTCTCCTTTCTTCTTTTACCAGATTTCTGATCTTTGAAAAATGTAGCTATTAGTAATTCCAAGACTATTATTATAACCATCAGTTAATGAAATGCAGTTGATATCTAGACCTGCCAACCCTCAAAAAGCGCTGTAAAGGTCTAGTACTGAAGTGGAGGGATGGACTGGGGAAAGAGGGTCACCTGAACTACCCCATCATCCACGCTGCCTTTTTACCTCAGCCTGCTCTGTTTTCACACAGACATTATCTCTACGTAACTACAGAACTTGTGACATCTTACTGCACAAAAATATAAAGCCAAGGTTACAAGAATACTGTGAACCTTGCAAAAATAAGGAACCTGTAAATGGCGTAATTAAGGCTTCCTATTAAGGTTGAAGAGAATGCCCTAGACCACATGTACGTGCGGCATTTCTTAAAATGTGACTGTATGGAGGAATCACAGTAGATAAACGCTTTGCAAGACAATTCTGTCCACTGCTTATCTACTTTCCCTTGGTAATCTTGTCTCTCTTTCATTACATGAAAAAGGCATAAATGTCTCAAAAGTAACAAGTGCTGCAAATGCCAGCTTTGTTGGATACTTTTGGACTCATTTTCTGTACCTTTTTATGAACGCAAAGCTTTTAAACATCTTTTACATACACAAGAATGTCAAAACATAATTTTCTTCTCATTTTCTGAATAATTTGAATTTATGAACACCCACCCCTAGTAACTCCAGTACATGCTGTGCCATGTATTTCTGGGTGACACATAGATGACATAGCATTCAGAAATTCATTAGCAACATCTGTAGGAGAAGATAGGGTTTGTGACCTCCTGCGGAGCCTGAATGCACATAAGTCCATGGGCCCTGATGAGATGTATCCCAGAGTCCTGAGGGAATTGGCCGATGTAGTCGCCAAGCCATTCTTCACGATATTTGAAAAGTCATAGCAGTCAGGTTAACTCCCTGGTGACTGCAAAAAGGGAAACATTGCACCCATTTTTAAAAAGGATCATAGGAGCTACCGACCTGTCAGCCTCACCTCTGTGCCTGGGAAGATCATGGAACAGATCCTCCTAGAAGCTATGCTAAGGCACATGGAGGCCAGCGAGGTAATTCGAGATAGCCAGCATGGCTTCACCAAGGGCAAATCCTGCCTGACGAACCTAGTGACTTTCTATGATGGTGTGACAGCATCAGTGGACAAGGGAAAACCAACAGACATC